ACAAACAAATTCTGTTAGGTTACAAAATTTTAACTTGTGGCGCTGATATTGGGTGCCTGAATCAAAACCTCCAGGGTTTGTTATTCTCTGGTAACATGAGGACCCACGTATTGTAAACGGAGATTTAAAAAAAAAATATTAAAATTTTACTTAAAAAATCAAGTCTGAGACCTCAAACCCATTGTTGGGATGTTAGCTCTGTCAATGTCATCATCAGCAATTGGAATTTTTAGTTGTGTTCCAGAACCTACAAATTAGTACTAATTAGTACTAATTTTGCTACAACGCGTTCCCGTACTGCAAAAACTAGCAAAACTTGCAGCTCTCTCGAGAAAAAAATGGCGCTGAGTGGTGCACATTTCTGCTTGTTTTAGCTACATGAATTTGGCCGAGCAGAAATGTGCAAATTGTGAATTTGACATTTAATTGGCAGGGCTAACAAGGTTGAAAAATGTGTTGATACATTTCAATGTTCCCGCGTCATAACAAAAATAAAGAAATGATCAACTAAAGGAAAAACTAATATTTGTAGTGCAAAAAAACTAAAAAAAAATATATGGGGCACTTTTGGATGATTCCAGTAGGGAAGAGGACTGGCTGAATGATGAATCAGATTATTAATTATTATTATAGATTATTAATTTTAACGTATCGTCTTCAATACTAATTTTTTTAAATTTTGGCGTCCGTTTCAGTAAGGTTTCACCAGTCCGATTTGGACTGTTTACTCTTGGAATTTTGAATTTTGACATTTTATCGCATTTCTGCTAATTTTCCGTTCCCTTATTTTTTGAGCACACCTAATTGAGAATGACATTTCGAACTGTTCTCTCTTCTGCTAGTTTTACTACTAAAAAAGTACTGGAACACAACTTTTCACGCCAAGATAAAACCGGTAATGGGGCTTGTACTATATTGGACTATGAACTTCTATTGATTGAACATTTTCTGTATAGACATTTTCAACCCCAACCAACATACGCTTAAATCAATTCCAAAATATAACATGGGTTTTGAAAACATTTGAAATCGGAAGTACTTTAATAAAAATGCTTTGTGGATTCCCCTGTGTATAGGATGCCTCTCAAAGTCCTGTTTTTACATAAAATGCATTTTTAGAGTCGGTTATATTTATATCAAATAAATTTTACCTTTTTAAAACACTGTGCCCCTCATTCTTCTCATCGACCCATTCTCTTTTCAAATGTCTAAGTTTTGTTATCTCTCGTTAAGACTTCCGTTTTGCCTTCACTTTCCAGCATAAATTAGAAGTGTGGAATTTGTTTTTCATTATTGCATGGATTTTTCTCAAATTGTTTGTTGGTTTTTTATTACTGTTACGCATTCCATTGTGGGAGAGGGAATTTTGTTTTCTGTCAAGACAATAGCTCCAGAGAAGTCTGGGAAGTCAACAAATAGTAAAAAAAAAACATTCCAATGGTTGCGTGCTGAATTGTCTTTTTGGGAAAATTCTTTTGCGAAAAATGGGAAAATAGAAAAAAAAAAAACAATATATGTAAACATTTTAATGATAGGCGGCTATGGTTAAAATAATTGAAACCAGATAAACATAATAAAGGGGCTTCTGTATAAAGAAAAGGTAGGACGGATGGTTAGATGAATGGAGAGTCGAACGGAAGGACGTTTAAAAAATATTTGGGGACTAACATCGTTATTGGAAGAATGAAGATTTTGTCGGTACAATTTTTTGGCCAGGAAGTTTTTGATTTTTAATACCCTCAGTCATATGGCTACAGAGGGTATTTATCATTTGATGTGGCCAAAACGTGGCTCATCGAAATAACGGTTTTAGACCCTAGGTCTCTTTGGCCCAAATCCGTTTTAGGACATTTGGAGTCCGTCTGTCTGTCTGTCTAGTGCCTGGTGCTCACGATAACTCTCGAAGGGAGTATCCGATATGATCCAAACTTGGTAAATCGTAATATTATTGTCAAACTTAGATCGAGTTCGGAGATGGGCAATATCGGTCCACTCCTTCTGGTACCTCCCCACTGTATCAGTGCTGGGTCAACATTTTGAATAATTATAACTATCATAAAATGTGATTATTCAAATTACACACATTACAATATTTTGATTATCCCAAGGTCTGGTATGAAGATGGAATATATTGGTCCACTCCTTGTGGTATCCTCCCCAAAAAGGTCGCAATTTTGGATATCCATGAAGCTCATAAAACGCGAAATTAGGATATAATTCCAGATTGGCACATCTCAATATTTCCACAAACACAAGATCTGTTATAAAGACGGTAGAGATCGGAACATTTCTTTTGACACCTCCACCGCAAAGGATCAGAATTTTGAATATCAATGGCGCTCATAAAACGGGAAATTTGCATCCGATTAGATTCCGATTTGGTACGCTCAACGAAAGCGAAATAAGCATCCAACTTTTTTTTATTTCACACATGCAAATATTTTTGCTAACAGATGATCTGTTGTGAAGATGATATGCAAAGTACAGGGTGAAATGAAAAAAATGCAACCAACTTTAGACTGCTGTCATTTCTAAGCCAATCGTCCGACAGCTGTTAAAATTATTCCAATGACCGCTTATTATATTGTTTACAAGCGTACAAAAGCATTTTGATGAGAATTGTCCCGAAAAAATAAATTATTCGTGATGGAATTCAGGAAGCGTGATGGTGTGATTTCTTTATATTTAGTAGGAGAACCACAAGTGGCTATCGTTAGAGCACTCCAGCATTTAAATGTGAATAAATCTTTTGTGTCTCGTACCATTGCTCGTTATCGTGATATTGGTAGCGTAGTCCGACGTCAAAAAAGTGGACGGAAGAAAACAGCAACATCAGCAGAAACGGTTTGAAAAGTAAAGAAGCGACTTGATCGAAACCCGCGTTGCAATGGCCGAAAAATGACTCGTGAGCTGAACATATCGCAATATTCCATTCCGACAAATATTGAAAAATGAGCTCGGTTACCCCAAAGCCATTGAAATTCCTAAAAGTGCAAGAACTTACACCGTAACAGAAAGAAAATTGAGATAAAGAGTTGCTTCGCTTGGTCGAAAGTGGTGAACTGCCGCATTTAGGTTTCTCCGATGAGAAAACATTCGTATTCATTGTCCAGCAGTTTGTAAACAAACAAAATGATCGTCTTTACTTGCCAAAGAGTTCAGCTGAAAATGTGCACCTTCTGTTGGCCACCAGAACTCAAGCGCCAGCCATGGTGATGGTGTGGGCCGCCATAACAGCCGTTGGTCGCTTTCCGCTCGTTTTAATCGACCGTGGAATCAAAATAAATGTCGAATATTATCGCGAAAGTATTCTGGAGGGTGTTGTGAGCATTGGGCACGCAAAAAAATTTGGCCGCAGACCTTGGAAATTCCAATAGGACTCAGCACGCCCCACCCAAGAAAGGATACAAAATGAGGTTCTTCGCTTCATTTCCTTCCCACAAAGTGTCGATCACCTCAAGCCAGCGCTTCGTCGGGAATGGGCCAAAATATCGCAGAGCAACATTCGGGCAGCGTGTGACGGTTTCATTGGCCGTTTGAAGGCCATAATTCATGTCAAAGGTGACCAATTCAAACAAATCTGAACTTATTCTAATATTTGATGCTATTTTCGACATTTTTTGCTTTGATTCAAAAAAATTAAAAAAAAAAAGTAAAAATTATGGCGTTTGACTTTGTTGCAGTTTTTTATACCCTCCACCATACACAAAGTATATATATTCTTGATCAGCATAAAATTCTATGTCGATTTAGCGATGTCCGTCGTCTGTCCGTCTGTGGAAATCACTCTAGCTTCCGAACGAATTGAAGTAGATGGATAAAATTTCGCTCAAATGTATGTTTGCAGGACTTTTGGTATTGAAAATTGGCCATGTAGGTCCACGTTTTGGTATAGCCCCCATATAACGGTACCTCCCGATATTCGTTTTTTTTATGATTTTAGCGACATTATAACCGTTTTTTTTTAAGTTTCGCATTTGAATATTGTAATGGCTTATGACAAATGTTACCTACGCAGGTTCATGTCATCGTATAGATTCTAATATAATAGCTACATACGATATTTTTAAGATTTGAACAGAATTTTTAACGGATTTTTTTGTTTTTGGGAATTGCCAAATTCGTTCCAAATGGTAGAGGGTATTCAAAGTTCGCCAGCTTTTTTACTTTTTTTATCTCACTCTGTATATGAATTCCTGGCATTCAGGTAAGATTTGGACCATGGGACCTATAATAGAATTTTATGACAAATAATTGCGTAAAATATTTTAACTTGTTCCGAGCCCGTTTAAAAATAGTTTTTTAAAAAGGGATCAAAAAGATCAATTTTTTTCACTCGCTCGAGGTATTTTTATAAGCAATATTGCCGAAGGCACTAAATTTTCAAAAGTGTGCAGGGAAAAGGAGTGAACTTGCCCTCCCTATTAAGGTTGCTTTGCAATGTAAACTGTTGAAACTCCGATACGCGTGTCTTCTTCTCTAGCTCTACTTTCATAACCTGCTGAATTTTCCTCGTAATGATTTTCTGTGTTGCACCCTACGCTCCTTTGTCCCTTGAACCATTTAAAAACTTGTTCTATGTAGTCTCACCTTTACCCTGCGAATTGTTAGGCGACTCAACTTACCAGCTTTTTTCTAAGCATTCCAAAAAAACTGGATTTTCCTTGCGTTAATTTCATTTGTCATCCTCCACTACCATGCACTGGGTTACGCCCATATTTGTATCCCTCTATTCCCGACATGGAATGCTCACTCCTTTTCCAAATAAAAACAAAGAGAAAAGAAAATTCTCTCTACACATCCTGAGAACAATGCATCCACCTTTAATGATGGTAATATGAGAAGTGGAAAAACAAATTCCACAGCTTTACCTTGACAAACATCAAAAGACGTTCAGTGACAGACAATCCGTCAGTCATGGAATGGAATGAACACCAAAGATTAACATCTACAAGATAATGCCCCGGCAAAAAAGAAAAAAAAAACGAAGAAGCAAGAGATAATTTGAATAAAATGTGTCATTATTATGGCGGTGGAAACTATTTTTCCTCCAAGACAATGCCAACCTGAATGGGAACAATCGACAACAACAGCAGCAACAACACCAGCAATTTGTGTAATAAAGACATTGAATTTTGCACGAACCAAAGATATTTTAATAGAAGACAAGTAGGCATTCTTTTCCTCCCAAAGTTTCTCAGGCCACTGTCAAATCATCCGTGTAATACAACCAAATCGAGGGAGGAGGTAATTCAATATCAGATTCCTCTTCCAAAAGGCCATTGGCATCAAGGGTTTCATGGAATTTCAAATCTCCCGGACAATGACCCTAACAGGAAAACAAACACAAAACAATCCAGATTTCCATAACAATTACTCCATAGATAACAAAGAGTGCGTATCACTCAACCTTACACCATAGGAAAATTTACGCCACAAATAGCTGCCGGCATGCAGATTATAGCGTTCCTTATATTTCCTTTGTATGTCATAGATGGTATCCTCCTGGCAAACCTTCATAAGAATAGTCCTACCCGTCAGGGTATTAATGAGCCGTATTTTCCTCTCCCTTGCCGTTAGACGACCAATGTGATAGCGAGGATCCTGACTCCATAGCCTGCAGGGTGTCCCACAAAACTCACTTTGTGCCCTCTCCAATATGGGTGGAAATAGGACGCGAGGCTTTCCCGAACGACTTGAGATCTCTGTTATGGGCTCATGATTTATGTGAAAGAAATGCGACAGATCTTTGCCACCAAATGCCAACAACAAATCTAAATTCTTGAGAAATATATTTCAAAATTTTTATTTCTTGCTGGAATTTTAGAATTTTATAGGTCTCACTTTATTCCACGAATCTTGACGATCTCTTAGCATGGGCGTCAAATCGAAAACGTTGCCATGAATTACAATCCAAAAATCATCCTTTTTATTGTGAACACAAACTTCATCGTAGAGGAAATAACGTAGGTTTGACATTTTATTTTCAAAAAAAAATTTAAATTAGGAATCGAAGTATTCAGGCAAATTGGAAAAAACAATTTGTTACTCAAAACACTTTGTTTTGATACAAAAAAACAAAAAATTTTGGAAAAGCAAAATTGAAAAAAACGTCAAAAAATTAGAAAAAAAATGCCATAAGAAAACGTAAAAACGTAACATGTTAAGAAAACGCAAAAAAAAAAGAAACAAAAAAATGGAAATATAGGACCAAACACCAAATATTAAATCAAAACGTCAAATATTAAAAATACTCCTGAACATAAGAACAAAAACGCCAAAAATTTAGAAAAAGAAGGGTTAAATAAAAAAAAAGTCAATTTAAAAAAAACTCCAAAAAATTAGAAAAACGTCAAATATAAGAAAAAAAAAACTAGAAACAGAATCAAATATTAAAAAACACCAAATATAAGAAAATACGCCAAAAATAGGAGAAGAGCCAAATATTAATAAAACTCCAAATATTAAAAAAAACTCCAAATGTTAGAAAGAAACGCCAAATGTAAGAAAAAGCGGCAAATATTAGGTCAAAACGCCAAAAATTAGAAAAAAGAGCCAAACAAAACGCCAAACATACAATATTCAAAAAAAAAAAAAAACTGGAAATGTTAGAAAAACGTCAAATATAAGGAATAAACGCCAAATATTAGAAAAGAAACGGCAAGAGTTAGAAAAATTAGCCAAATATTAAACAAGTAAAAAAAACATTTAATACCCTCCACCTTAGGGTAAAGGAAACACTTTTATATAAAATTAACTGCATTCAAGCGTGTTTCACTATAAGCTTCATATACCACCAAGGCCGTTTGGATAATGCAGTTAAGTTTATCAAAAAAAAAAAAAAACATAAAGTGATTGAGGCTGTTATATGGGGACATACCAAAACGGAACTTCTATAGAAAATTTTATACTTTAGAATTGTCGTCTATCAAAGCTTCTAAAATACCAAATATGAAACAATTTCTTGGGTAAATATGACTAGGATTAACATAATACCGAATATCGGTGGGTATATGTGCGCTATAACAATTTTTATCAAAATATACCAAAACATGTACATTCACTATTTCGGCTCCGGAGTTAGAATCCATTATGACCCACAAATTTCAATTTTCCGACAAATCCGTGAAAAAATGTGGCAAAAATCATCAAAACACCGAATATCGGGAGGTACCGTTATATGGGGGCTATACCAAAACGTGGACCAAAACGTATGACCTACAAATACCAATTTTTAGACAAATCCGTGGAAAAATGTGACAAAAAAACATCAAAATACCGAATATTGGGGGGTACAGTTATATGGGCACTATACCAAAACGTAGACAGATGTATCTCATTTTCAATACCAACCATCCTAAACACTATACAAATTCTTCTGCTAAATGTTGACGCTCTACCTCGAATAATATGACCGGTATCGTGATTTCAACAGACGGACAGACAGGAGGTCTTTTGTAAAGATATGAATTTCCAAAAAGATGATTTTTATGAACCATATACACTGGCTTTAACATCTCACGCACGTTTCGTATTTTGTTTCACTGTTAAGCATCTTCAGTTTGGTCTATAATTGAACAAGGCTTGGATATCATTGAATTCTTCCCATAATTTCTAAATGTACCATTTTTTTAACCAGTGGTTGTGAGAAATATTTAGATTGTCTGATCGCTGACTTGTTTTGAAAGTTATGACAGATAAAAGTATTAAAAATTGTGACCTTTTGTGGGTGCGGTACCAGAAGAGGCAGATATAATTCATATTCACAACAGATATTGTTTTACCAAAAATGTTTGTGTATGAGAAATTTGAAGAGAGTTGGATACTTATTTCGATTTCTTTGAAGAACAAAACGATCAAAGAAATCGAAATAAGTATCCAACTCTCTTCAAATTTCTCATACACAAACATTTTTGGTAAAACAAGAAATGGTCCGATCTCTACAATCTTTATAACAGATCTTGTGTTGATGGAAATATATAGATGTACCAAGTCTGGAATGGAATTATGGATACACAAAATTCTGAACCTTTGTGAAGGAGGTATCAGAAGGAGTGGACCGATATATCCCACCTTCACAACAGGTCTTGTCTTAGTGGAAATAATAGGATGTGTGAAATATAAAGAGAACCTGATGCTTATTTCGCGTTTTATGACCTTCATGGATATTCAAAATTTGAACTCTTTGTGGGGAGTTACCAGAAGGAATGATCCGATCTCTACCATTTTTATAACAGATCTTGTGTTAATGGAAATATTGATATGTACCAAATCTGAATGGAATCGCATGTTATTTTATGATGTTATTTTATTTAAAAGTTTGACCCTTTGTAGGGGGAGGTACCTGAAGGAATGGAACGATGTATTCCATCTTGACGCCAGACCTTGGGTTAAAAAAATTATTGGGATGTGCGAAATTTGAAGACAATCGGACTCTTACATCACATTTTATAAGGGTTGTAATTATTCAAAATTTTGGCCCTTTGTGGGGGAGGTACTTGATGGAGTGGACCGATATAGCACAAATGTGAATATTAGGATTTTCGAAGTTGAAGCAAAATCAGATCATCCTTTCTTTCCTGTGCAGTAAAATATTTTGCTGAAAATTTGAGAGGTGCCAGAAGGGATGGACTGATATTACCCATCTACCAAATTTGGACCAAATCGGATACTCTCTTGGAAAGTTATCGTGCACACCAGCCATCCATACAGACAGACGGACGGACATCGCTAGATCCACTCCAAATGTCCTGAAACGAATTTGGTTCAAAGAGACCTAGGGTCGTCTTAAACCATCATTTCGCCTAGGCACGTTTCGACCGTGTCAATTGATATATACCCTCTCTAGCCAAATGGCTGAGGGTATAAAGAAAATTCTATGTTTAATATTTCTCGAAAGTTCTTTAAACTACAAAGGTTCATTGAAGGTATTCTAATGTGTTTTCCTGTAGCTAGACGACCCTTTAAGAGGGATATAAACAACTTCTTAAAAACCTTATACACATACATTAAACCTGTTTAAATGGCTCTACAGAACTAAGAACAACTATAAAAATCTGCTATAAACAGAAGACCTAAAATAATTTTAACATACGGAAGACGAGTCAAAGACTCAATAAGTTCTCAACAGATTTTGACATGAAGGCAACTCTTAGTAGATTAAGGGCTTATTGAAAGGTTTTCTAAAATAGAATACTTCAGGGAAATTTTTTTATATTGTGAATTGCAATACCGAAGATTTTTTTAATAGCAGAACTCTGACATCTTTCATGACAAATCTCCAATCAGTCCAGTCAGTTTGATTTTGCTTCAACTTAAGAAATTCATCTCAAGATTGAAGACCTCTCAAAAGGTCTTCCCTTATATAAACTTCTATCTTTTCAAGAATATTCTATAAATGCTAATATTTCCAAATATTCGCCTTAAGATTAATAAGTATACAACAAGCCTTCTTTCGAAAATCTAAATTTCAAAAATCGATTCACATCCCCTCTAATTGCATTGCAATTAAAATATATTACGGTAACAAATTTTCAAGCAAAAATCGAATTTCACAATATTGCCTACATCCAAAGTCATAACAGAAATTTCTGAAGCCGGTGTGGACGTTGCACAAATATCAAAACAAAAGACTTAGGCAACAAACCTGTTTTGCACAATTAACTCCAACTCCTCTTCAGCGAAGCGAAGTCGAAGAACCAACCCAACTCCTGCAACAGATTCGCCACCATGTCTTCTTCTTGAGCTCTACGTTCAAAAGCCTAAACAATTCACTTGCTTTGCTTTATTTTGTCCACTGCCTGCAATTCTGCCATTTGGGTGTGTCCCAAAGTGATTTGGCCTCTTTTTTACGTTTTTCAAACTAAACCAAAAAAAAACACATCTTCGAAAGGCCAGTAAATATTTTCCCATAACCTATTTGCTGTAGTTTTTTCGTTTTTTTTTTTTTTTCATAACAGATAAAATATGCCCATGATTGAGCATGCTCGGTGTTTGGGAAATATGTTTATGAGTCATCAGGTGTAGCAGAGCTCCAGCAAACTAGTTTTCCTTTAAAAACGTTAAAACGCAAAAGGACCGACCATGTTCGTTCACGTTACTTGATTAATACAATTGTGCAGGTAATGTTCGGGCTGAAGGAAAACAACGAGAAGGAGGGTGTTGATGCCTATGGAGATGCTAACAAGTCCCACACTGCCTGACAGCCACCCTGCATGTCTTGTGGACATGTATGATGATCGGTTTTGTAAATAAACAAACTCCGACCAAAGGCGGTCAATGTTCTTTTGCACAGCCGCTTAATGGATAAAAAAAAAAAAAAAAAAAAAACAGCCAACCCATAATCAATGCAAACATTGTTGTCCAAACCGAATGACAGAACGGTGAGACTATTTTCGAATTCTCAACACGTTTCGTTTCGCATTTGCGTATTTATTTGCAGATTAAATACAAATCTAAATTTTCGATTTATGTTTTGAGTTTTGTATTTCAATTTGGAATGAAAAGGTATTTCATCATCGTTTTTATGTTCGGGACATGATTTATAACGAATTGCTGATTTATGTCAATTAAGTTAAGATGGGTATTTTCGGACAGAGGATTTGGTTGTAGCGCATGAAAGTGTGTTCGTGGAGAAGGGGTAGAGTCTAGTTATACCATTTTGGGGGCTCTGGGAAACCTTTTTTTTTTTGCTCCGTTTGGTTCTGAGTGATAAAATCCACCTCCTAGAATAAAATACTTGGCATTTGAGTGGGGCTCATATTTATAGGGTGAGATGATGGTGAGATCAGACTGCTGTGATTTCTAAGCCACTAGTCCGAAAGCTGTTAAAATTTTTCCACTGACAGCTCATTATATTGTTTACAAGCGTACAAAACATTTTGCAGAGAATTTTCCAGAAAAAAAGTTATTCGCAATGGAATTCAAGCGAGATAGTATGATTTCTTTATACAGGGTTGCCCATATTCGACGGACCCATCTGGCAACGCCATAACTTTTGATAGAGATGTCACATCGCCAAA